CAAGGTCACACAGCTTATACGCGGCAGACCTGGGCTTCAAATCTTGATTTGGCTGACTTAACGTTTGCTGTTATTTGAGGTACTGGGCCATTTAATTTACTGCTCCGCTCACTAAAGCTAATGCATTGCCTTGCACATAATAGGCATGTTATCTGACTACTGAAATGTTGACTTAAAATGCTCCCATTGAAGCCCAGTTACTATTAAGCATAAAAACTGTATTGTAGAATGTAGATTCACTTTGCTGTAATTTTTAATTCTACTAAAACAATTTTTTATATCGCTCATGTGCATCCTTCAGTGTTCTCTTACTCATTTGGGTGGGCTCGTGAGGTCTCTCAAAATTACAGAAATCATTTAATATAGTCCAGAAGCTGGTACATGAACTAGTGGTATTTAGCCTCCTTCTGAATTTTATAGCTGAAGAAGAAGTTCTTTCCCTGAGGTTTTAGGATTTAGTCGCCTTGTGTGGGATCCACGTTAAGTAACCAAGTTCCCTTCATCATAGCAATACCTTTCCGATGCAACAGAAAATGGATAACAATGCCTGAAAAATCCTATGACCCTGAATAGGGCTGACTTGAACAAAAGGTTGCGATTTGAGGAAACCACCCTGACCATCCTCTCCCAACCTTCCACCCTGCTAAGCATCTGATGACTGCAATACTACCATTAGGAAACTCTTTCGGTTGAAAAAGTTAAACCGCAAGCACCCCTGAGATGGGTAGCACCAACAATACAGTAGTCAAATTCCTTTGTGATTTTTGAGGTTTATCCAGATGCACCAGCGGGCCAGGGCACTATGCACGCGGAGGGCGGGGTCGTGGAGAGGGAAAGGGAGGGGAGAGGAAGGGAGGGGACCGGAGAGGAGCTTGGGGAAGGAAGGTTCCTGGCAATAGGGCATTGAGTGCTTTTGAGGAAGGTTCCTAAGGCAAAGTAGGGAGAGGGGTACCCCTAGACGAGCTTCCCAGGCTGGCCGGCCTTGCCGGGGAGGAGCCCTGCGTCCAGTCGCGTCAACCCCGGGCTGGCTGCGTGTGCGTCGCGTGTCGAGACTCCTTGCGCACCAGGAAGTGACTCCCCGCAGCAGCGATCCAGGCCATTTTCTGGTCCTTTCGTTTGCGCCACAGGTTTGTAAAAGGATTTTTGGTTACAGAAGACGGGTACGTGGAGAGCCCAGAAAATCCGATTTAATCCTTACTGTACTTCGTAATGCCCACGGGGCGGAGAACTGAGAAGGCAGGCGGGGGTGGGGACGGGGACGGGACCGACGCTGGCTGCTCAAGGTCGCGCCCAGCCCTGCGTCTGCCTGTGCCAACTGACCCGCTCCCGGGTTTCCGCCTCCCCTGGTCCTGCGGCCCGCCCAAGTTCAGTGGTAGGCTTTTCTACTTTCTCCTCCTTGTTAATCCTTCCTACCGACCCGGTGGGCAGGACTCGGCCAAAGAAGAGGGGTTTGGCGGGGCAGGTAAAAGGGTCTGACGGGGAAGGAAAGTCCTGACTGCTTGTGGGCTGCAGTCGGTACGCAGCACTAACACCGCCCCCTCGCGCCCGCCGCCCGCGCTCGCGTCGTTTAGCCGAGAACTATGTCTAGGGCCGAACAACTGACGGAACGGTGAACCGACAGTGTAAGGAGGACCCTTGTCTGTGGGTGAACATTGAAGCTCTGTGAGGATTTCAGACAGGTTAGCTATTCCAGCCCTAGAGAATTAGTCTGCCTTTCCATCTGGCCGCTCTGGATCCTGAGTACTTGTCCGATCAATTCCTGAGGCGAAAATACAGCAGTTGTCACACACTTTTTTTTTTTAACCCAAGCATTTATTTAGAACAGGAAAAAATATAAAAAGAAAATAGGCTTTTCTGTGAACAAACACACTCTCTGACGTCAAGAAACAAAGGAACATAACTCGGACTGGTGTTGCTGTGCTTCCTTGAAAAATATATTTCAGTACAGAAATTACTAAATATGATGAAAGGCCCTTTACAAGGAGAGATGGCCAGTTGACACCCTGAAATAGTAGGGTCTGATTTTAGGCCATTTCTGATAATTTGGAGGAAGACACCTAGGTGGACAAGGGTCCCCCTGCTGAGGTACAGGACAAGTAGAGCACAGTCACAGTGGTAGTCACCCGCGAGAAGACACACACACCCACAAAAATGTCTAAATGTTGTGGGGCAAGGATAGCTGACTTCAAATTCCTCAGCCCCCCTGTTCCTTCTCTGCTAATCCCCAAACGGGCCTGCAGCTTCTTTCTCTGCCAGCTGGAGGGAGAGGGATCCTCTCCTGGACCAGCACCACTCCTTTTCCCTGTAGTGTGAGCCTCCTCAGACTCCCCACCCCTAGAGAAAACCATGCCTTATTCTTTGTCTCCTGCCTCTTCCCTCATTTCTTCTCTCTGGCTTTTGTTTCTGTTCTTATCAAATACATACATTTGTCTTACCTGGAAAAATGTCTATCACAGGTCACACACTTTTGATAGTATTAACAGGTGCTCCATGGCAGACCTTAAGCTCACCACACTCCAACAGGAACTAATGCAGAAGGTTAGGAAAGTGTGTGTGTGTGTGTGTGTGTGTTTACCTTTCCCACGTAATAAACACTCACATTATTACATCTTGCCAGTTTTGCAGGTTGGACATGTTCAGGCACAAAGAAGTCAATGTCATGCTTCGAATCACAGGCTAAGGAAGGGAAGTAACACATGTTGACCACCTGCTGTGTTAGTCACAGTCCTGAACACTTCATATATATGAGCTCGTTTATTTCTTAACACAACCCTGAAAGGTAGGTGTTGTAAGTCCTATTTTTATAGACTGTGACACCGAGACTCATAATGCTTAGGTAACTTGCCCAAAGTCACAGAACTAGTGAGAAGCAGAGCTGGGATTAGAACATGGCTCCAAAGCCCATGTTCTTAAAGACTAGACTCTTCCTGGGCTGGGTGCTCTCAGTAACACCTGAACTCTGGGCCAGCTTAAATGTACTCTGTTAGAAATTTAAAATCCCCCCCAAAATGCTTCCATGCTGTGACAGTTCCTTTCTTCAGTACTTTGTAAACAGAAAATGGGGTATGAGCTAAATATTACAGTCAGCATCCTGTAAGTTACCTAGTGATCATTGCGTACTAATTTCACAGTAATAGAGGGCGCCATGGAAGAATCTATGTTAATAAATCTATCACATACATTGGACTTTTCAGTATATATCATTCTAAATTAAGGTATGACTTAACATGGGGATGAAATCCAAGGTAGAGAGCAAGGGCAAAATGTAATTTCACAGCAGATCAGTAAGGTGTCCAGCCGAGTCCATTCATGGGTCCTAGATACTCAAAGTTTAAGTTACACAGCAGTGAGCAGGCACGGTAAGGTAAATAGGCAACAACACAGTCTTGTGTTGGAGGAACAGGGATTCCTTCCTCTTTCCAAAATGAGGCTTTCCACTTGCTATAACTTTTCCAGCTTTTGCCTTAATAGCTACTCCTACTATGCCGTAACCCTGCTTCTCTCCTTCAGTATTGCGACCCCTGCTCAGTCCCATACACTCTAAGCACTCTGACAGGATTAACACACACTGAGATTTTGCCAGGCACTGAATGCTATGCTCAGAGCTTTACAAAATCATCTCTTCAATCTTCTGCTAAGTGCTTTTTATTAATCATCCTTTATTTAACTGTTATAACCACTGTATGAGGTAGGTACTATTATCTTTATTTTACAGATGAAAGAACAGAAGGTCAGAGGGAATGATTAACTTTCCAAATGTCATCTAGCTAGTAAGTGGTGGAGCCTGGGGACCGCTCAGATCTGCCCTGACTGTATGGTCTGCACTCCTAAGTTCTCAAACCTTCATTTGTCCCTTCTGACTGCCACTAACAATTTTACTTTATTTCTCTTCTTTGGCCTCAGACTTACTGGAGGTGTCTGTGCCTACCTGAAAGGTATCTTCCTTGGCCTCCAAGCTCTGCACTGTCCTGGTTCTCCTGAGTCACCAGCATCCATTCTTGCTCTCCAAATACTGCCTTTCTCCTAGGTATAGTCATTGGCTCTTTGCTTATCTCTTTAATGAAAGCTCTTTTTATTTTTAATCTTATAGCTTGTACTTTTAGAGACACTTAACCAAATCTCTAGACCAGACTTCTCTCCTGACTTGTAGTATTGCTTCTCAACTTGTTAGAGATTTCCATTTGGATATTTACCTACCATTTCAAACACCTGCCTCAGACATGAATTTGCTTTTTGTTAACCTAGTTCATCTTTATTTCTCTATATAAAGCCACCATTAACTCACTGTTGCCTTAACAATAAAATCCATATTTTATTCAGGCATTAAAGTTCTTGCAGATCTCAACTTTGATGTAACTTTTCAGCTTTATTTCCTGTATTCCCGAAGGTCAAGTACCGTGTAAGCCAGACCAGCCTAGCCACTGTCTTCCAAACATCTAATTCACCTCCCTGCCATCCTTTAAGATCCAGTGCATAGCCTGCCTCTTCTGGGAAGCCTTTCCTGAGCATTCATCAGGAACCAAGAATAAGGTGTTTTTTATTATCTTTTCCTGTGTTAGCACTTGATCTCTTCAGTTAGATTGTAACCTTTGTAACCCCTCCACTATCTTGTGTGGCACAGTGTCTTTTACATTTATTAAATTTACATTACTAAACATTAGTTGATTGATTGTTTTTTGAGTGGGAAGGTAGAATGTGGAGAGGGACTGGCCACAGATGTGTATTCAGAGAGTTGAACTCTTTCTTGGAGGACAAAGAATGTATTTTCTACATCTTTATATTTTGGGAGCCTAAGCCAGTGCCTAGCATGCAGCAGTTCAGTTCTGCTCAGCAGGCCTGCTTTTCCTGAGTATTGACTCTGTGCCAGTCACTGTGCTAGGTTCTGGGCTTCTGTAAGGGTTGGTAAATGCATGAAGGGGTTTGATAAGTGTTCCTCTGCTCCCTGATTTCTGTATGTCCACCTTTCATACAGGTGAATTTCAGTGTTTCTGTGATTGGCAGATATTAGGAGAAGAGTCCTAATGCACAGCTTGAGATGCTTCCTCTCCGACGTGGGTCTCGTCTCCAAACCAGGACTGCTCTTCTGGAGTGCCAGAAAACCTACAGGTCAGTCACAGCTCTTTTTGGACTCATCATATAAGGGAAACTTCATCCACATGGTATCCAAGATGTGTCAAAGAGGACAGAAGAGTCTGAAGAAACCACGCCATATTACATCACTAGATGGTTCCTGGCAGGAAAGGTAAGGCCCAGGCTGATGTCCATTCTCCTTAGTGAGTGAATCTGCATCTACTGAATTCTGTATTCCTGTTGTAATTAATGTGGCATTACAAGGGTTCAAGGGGGCACCGTGAGGCAGGACACCCAGGGCAAACTTGAAGACATCTGAGGAATGTTGGTGGAAATGCTTCTGGATCATAGATAGTATTCTCCTTGCCTTTAAGTGTGTTTTCCTCTGAAAGGATATAGTAAGCTGGGACCTTGTCTCTAAAAAGGTCTGGGGCCGGCATGCTGAAAACCAGGGACCCAGAGAGAGAATAGATGGATTAGAAATGAACAGTCCCATTGCAGCTATGTAAACACAAATATACCTCATTTTCTGGAACAAGTACATTTTGTAAGTCAAATTATATTTTAAAAGCATTGGGAAGGTGAGCTGTTTAAAAGAACCCAATGGTGAAGCTTTTTGTGATATGATTAATTATCTCCTGATAAATCTGGATTTTTCTTATATTAGGTTTGCCCATCTGTTCTGCTTTGTTAAATAGTGCCAAAATGGACTCTTCTCCCAGACTCTTATCTCCCCAGGGGCATGATAAGTAAAATGCCAGAGAAAATGGTGGCACTAATGTGTAGTAGGTACTCAGTACATATTTATATGATGAATGAAGTGCCTGAATTACTGTATTCAAGGCTGGCTGATGTTGTGACGCCACTCTGGAGATTAAGCTATGAAGAACAGCTTAAGGTTGGTGCCCAACTTGTCTTCACTCCCGTTCCATTGGGTGAATGGTGCTAGACTTGTAGGAAGCTTGACTAGATAGTCCTATCCAGATGCCCCAACAGGTCCTTAAACTCAGTACGTTAATGCTGAAATTTTAACTTTAGGTCGGTTATGTATTCGAAACTCTAGAGCCATATATTCAAGGGCCTATTTCCTTTCTTACTTGTGTTTTTTTTGTTGTTGTTCTTAGAGCTGTCTGTGTGTGAGTAGCAAGTGTTCTTACTGCTTCATATAGAGCTGTACTTTCCAGCACGGTGGCCACAGCTGCGTGTGGCTATTTACATTTAAATATAGTCACTTCTGCTCTAAAGCTTGCTTTGAAAAAGGAAATTTGTTCCAAGGGATTGATATATTAGGGAATAACTTGAACATAATGCTTCACATTTGCTTAGGAGTGATTTCCTCTGCAAGAAACACTAGGTGAAAGAAAGAACCTGTGCCCAGCTGGACTGAGCTGCACAGAGATGCACACACCTCAAATACCTGCCAGCTCCCTCAGTCCCCCGAGGGTATTATGAGCCACACCCACTCACATCTGCTTTTACACCTTTCTGTGCTACTCACATAGCCCTCCTTTCACCACTTCATGATAACTCACAGGTGGACAGCCACTCCACAGACAGGTACCTATATTTATTCATTTATTCACTGAATGTGTATAAAACGGTACTGTACTTTATATGAGGTTTCTGTCTTGTCTGTGTTACTGATGAAGTTTGGGACTCTGTGTGCCCAACCCCATTTTTCCCATGAGCCCTGTGAGTTCTTGGGTCAGTTCTGCATAGTACAGTGTACAAATGCTCATGTCACGGTCTAGCAGAGCTGACTGTGTAAGTTAATTCAAGGTACATAAAATTAGAAATTCAGTTCCTCAGCCACACAAGCCATATTTCAAGTGCTCAGTAGCCACAGTGGCTAGTGGCCATCATATTACATAGAATATAGTATCACCATAGAATATTTCTGTTACCACAGCAGGATCTCCAGACAGCGCTGACACAGCTTAAGTGTTCAGTCCAAGAGGGCAGATAAAATGATGAGCCTACCCAAAAGCTCACTCTTGACCTTTCCCCAATACTTTATAAGGGCTCTTGCTCTTCCATCATTCTAGGTTCCTTGTCTGCTGAAATCATAACCCAAGAATCTGTGGGGCAACCTTCTCTTACCCTGTTTGTTTTCTATTCTTTGAGGTGATGCTGCAAAAGCTCTTTTGTTTCATTACTTATATTCTTTTGCAGGTGAAATTTGAAGCTCAGAAGAAAATTTTACAGAAACTAGAGTCTTACCTCCACATGCTCCGTGGGGTCAATGCAACAACAGCTACCTCCAGCTCTGAGGGGCTCTGTTGTCTCCTCCATCCTATTATACCCTCTGTAAGCCCCCACTTCCCTATCTTTGCCAAGTCCCCTTAATAGCTAATAGTATCAGCCAGCACTTACTGCACACTTGCTGGGGACCAAGCCCTCTGTTAAGTGATTAGCATGAATCATTGTCTCATTTATTGCTTACAATCATCCTGAGGGGTATCATTTTACAGATGGAGACATTGAGGCACAGGGAGATTGATTAATTTACCCAAGGACACACATCTAGAAAGTATAGGAGCTGAGATTCACACTCAAGCCTATCTGATACAAAGCCCACTTTCTCAACCACTACATAACTACCTCAGAAAGAATCCAGACTTTGGAAACCTTCTAATGAAGCCTCAGATGGGCAGAACTTAATTTATGGCAGAGGTTGGCAAACTATGGCCCGTAGGTCTTATCTGTCCTGCCACTTGCTTTTGTAAATAAAGTTTTATTTGAACACAGACAAACTCACTTGTTTATGGATTGTTTATGGCTGCTTTCACATTACAGTGGCCTAGTTGAGTAGTTGTGGCAGTGACCATCTGGTCTGTAAAGCCTAACGTGATTTACTAGCTGGCCCTTTACTGAGAAACTTTGCTGACGCCTGCTTTGTGGCAAAATTGGAGCTCCTTTCCACCATGAAGTATCTCTGGAGTGTCTGGATCTTCTCAGCCATGGACTTCCACATATTTCTTACCCTCCAAGCAAGCATATATTTGTCCTTATTCAGAAATGTTCTTACATTCCCTTCATTGTTGTAGTCCTTGGTTTCATTTGACCTGTTGTCCCTCTCCTGTCTTGTCTTCTCCAGCCTGTTATCCATGGCTACCGAAATAAGTCCACCTTCTCAGTGAACCGAGGTCCAGATGGCAATCCAAAGACTGTGGGGCACTACCTGGGAACTTGGAGAGGTCAGTTGAAGACTGTGACTAGTAGAAATAACAAATGAAGGACTGAGAGGAAGGGAAGGGCACAGAGAACAGTGTCAGTGGGAGTGGAGAGGAGTGAAAAATACGGTGGCCTTAAAGGAGGAGGTTGAATTGGAAGTCTTTGACGCAGAACATGACCACAGGGTTAATTGTGGGTACTCTCTGGTGGCTAGTCATTGTAACATAGCTCGAGGAATCACAACACTCAGCCTTTCTTCCTTTCAAATGCCTGGGCCTCTGCAGTAAGCACTTAAGAAATGTTAATGTTGTTGCTGCTCTTCTCTCATCATCATCATTATTGTCATCATCATTTCATACAACTTTCTATACTGGGAGCAGTCTCCCTTGTTAGAGTTGCCTTTTCTGTTTCACATCCCCATATCCCTGAAAGCTAGAGCTTTCTGTGATAAATCTACCTTAAAAGAATTGGTAGGTGAGGCAAGTGTTGGTGAGGGAAATCATAGTGGCATATTTCTGAGACTTAATTGCAGAATATCCATTCCCAGATTTCATTCCTGAACTTCCCATTTGCCCATTTTCAATAAATCCACTTGAAACACCATCATTTTATATTTCTCACACTGTTTAGTATCCATATGCCTTACACTACAGTTCATTAGGGCTGGCACTTGCCCCCCACCTCCCGCCCCCCCCATGTGCTGTAGTAAATGAGTATCAATGTCCGTGTTCTATTATTCTGTAACAGAAAAACAAAACCCATTACATTTTATTTCCCTCTTAAAATCTGAACAGAAAGCAGACATAGTCTATTGTCCATTTGTGGCATGAGAGAAATACTATGGACTAGCTCCGTTAAGAATAAGCTTCTTAATTAATGGCTGGACCAGGAGACAGGTTTTCTCTGAAAAATGGCCTTGAGCTTGAATTAGGTACTTTGCTTTTTCATATTTGCATATGCCTCTTTGAAGGAGGGAATTTGACTTGCCAGACATGTTTTTCTAAATAATCTTTTAGGAAGAAATCCGCATAAATCAAATTCTTTTTCTTTCCATAGACAAGAACATTGTCTGTGTACGGTCTAACCATCTGAAAAACATCCCTGAGAAACACAATCAAGTGGCCCAGGTAATAAGGAACAAAGGCTGGCTGAAGATGACCTGGGGCATTGCGGTCTAACAGTAGCATCCCTGACATTTTAATAATAGAGCATTTATAGTGCTATAGGGGAGGAGGAGCTTTGCTGTGCAAGGGTGCCACTTAATGGAGAGCATTGCTAGGTTTTCATTTCAGAGAGGGTGGAGAGGAGGAAAGAGAACTGTATCCATTGCTGCAAATGTCAGGCATCCAAGAAATTTAATAGAAGGGAAGTTTGAGGAAAGGGGTACTGATGAGGCAGTATAGCAAGTGGCAAGTGTCTGGAATATTTGGAAGGCAGTGTTTTTGACAGAATTGCAAAATATGAGAGATGTAGGTGGTAGGGCATTTGCATCATCAGATTGGTCTCAGAGACATTTTAATAACCTCCTGCTTCATGCAACATTATGTATTGAGGGCTTGCCATGGGTTGGCCACTGTGGTAGGTGTTGCAGATCCAATGGTAACTCAAGCAGACATAGTGCCTACCCTCGTGGAGCTTAAAGCACAAGCCCGAGTCATGAAAACTGCACAGGACTCTCCACTGACACTCTTGTTCCCTGTTAATTCTTACCAGCACCCACCTCCCTGATGATTCTCATTTCTGACACTTGGGTGATACCTTCTGATAGGACACATCTTGACCTCCAAAATTTCCCTGCTAGGACACAGCTCCCTTTGTAGGATTGTTCTCCAGAAATCTTCCTACATGGCTCTCATCAGCTTCCTTTCCCATTCTCTTTAGTGACTGTTCTAAACTGTTACTTCTCAGATTCCCTTCCTCATTACCTTTACCCTTTTAGCTGATGTCCATGCCTAATTCTTCCCTGGGAAATCAGGGCCATCAGATGAGAACTCCCTTACCTTCTCCTAACATGTACCATTTTCACTGAAATCTTACCCATTCTTCCCTCCTGTCTCACTGAAAGAGGTGGTTGGTTGTCCCCCACCCAAGGCTATTCTTCTTCCTTTTGAAACACCATCTTGGACTCATCTCCTCCCTCCCCAGGATCCTTGTGCCCTTATTACACACCTTCTTTCTTCTGTTTCCTTACCTCTTTCCCCCTACATCTGTCGATTCTTTTCTTTCAGTTCATAAACATTAAATACCCTCCATCTTTTAAAAAATTCTGATGGTTCTTGCTTCTGTCCCCAATATTCCATAGAAACCGATCTGGCCAAAGTCATTAGAGACCTCTGTTTTGCCAAACCCAATGAAAACTTTCTGCCCCTAAACTCAACTCAACGTATTTCTGCCTTTGGCACCACTTACTGTTCTTATTTCACACTCTGAAACACTGTCTTTGGTTTCTGTGATACCATTCTCTGATGATTTTCGTTCTTTCTTGCTGGCCACTTCTTAGTCTTTGCCATGGGATCTTTTTATCCTCTCCTTGCCCACTACAAGTGTTGGTGGCCCCCAGGACCTTGTCCTTGGCCTTCTTTTTGAGTATATTCATGGGAGATTGCACCCAACTATACTGATGACTGGAATGAACACCTGTAAATTGACAACTTCTAAACTTATATTTGCAGTCTGTCTCCCCCTTGAGCTTCAGGAGTGTGTTTCCAAAGGGCTACTGAATGTCCTCGCTTAGCTGCCCTGCAGAGCCCTTTAAAGATCAAGCTTTCTCAGCCTCCACACTATAGACATTTTGGGCTGGACACTTTTTTGTTGTAGGGGTCTGCTAGGTACATTGTACAATGTTCATCAGCATCCCTGGCCTGTACCCACTAGATACCATTAGTTGTCACAACCAAAAATGCCTCCAGATATCGTTTGGGAGGCATAATCACCTCCAGTTAAGAACCACTGCCCTAAACTAAACTCATCCTCTTCCCTTTCCAAATGTGCTTTTTTTTTTTGCCCCTTAGTAAATGGTAGCACCATGTACTAGAAACGTGTCATCCTAGAATTCTCTGTCTTAATCCCCCCTTTCTCTGCCACATCTAATCAATCTCTAAGTCCTGTCAGTTTCCTTTCTAAAAATATCTTGACTCCACCCTGTACTCTCTATTTCTACTGCCACCATCATCTCCACCACCATTCTAGTCCAAGCTACTATCTTCTTTTGCCTAGACTACTGCAGTAGCCTCCCAGTGGTCTCACTGGCTCCAGTCCCCTGCATTGGTGTGTTCTCCACACTGAGGCCAGAGCTGTCCTTAACATTCAAATAAGGTTATACCGCTGTCTTGCTTAAAATTATGCAGTGGTTGCCCAAAAGCTTTTAGAATAAAATTTAAATTCCTTACTTTTGCACTTAAGGGTCTTCCTAGTAAGATTCCTAGCCGCCTCTTCTGCTATATCCTCACATGTTTTCCTCTTTGCATTTTTATTGAACTAGAGTTACCCTGCCAGGCTATGTCATGCCTGTCTGAGGTAGCCCTCTCTCTAGAATGCCCTCAGTAGTCTTTTTCCTGGCTTCTGCTCCCACTTTAAGATTTATTTCCAGCACAAGGTCCTGTAGAAAATCTTATGTGACTTGGCAGTCTGATTAGGGCTTCCTGCCCTCTGCTGCTGTATTCCTTACTGCCTAGCTCCTGTTGTGGCACTTGTTACGCCATATTGCATTGTCCTTCATTGGTGCTTCCCCCACTAGACCACGGAGGTAGCAGCTGTGTGTCATTTAACTTTGAGGCCTAGCACTTACCAGATTCATACATATGTGGGTGCTCATCAAAAGTCTGGTGAATGAATACCTTTTTGCAATATTTACCCAAGTTTCTAGCTCTTTCAGCTTCTGTTGGGCAAATTTCTTCCCTCCACGTCTGTCCAGACAAATTCCTCTTCTCTGCAAAATTTGTGCTAGGCCTAAGATCCGATCCAGTAGGTACAACCAGATGCCCATTGTAGTAGTAATAGTACCAAAATGTAGTTGACCCTTGAACAAAACAAAGTCAGTAAAGAACAGGCAACAAGGTTTGAACTGAGTAGGCCCACTTAAATGAGGATTTTTTTCCATAAGTACAGTAGAGTACTATAAATGTATTTCCTCTTATGATTTTCTTAATATTGCCTTTTTTCTAGCTTACTTTATTATAAGAATATAGTATATAATATATATGACATACAAAATATGTGTTAATCAACTGTTTATGTTATTGGTAAGGCTTCCAGTTAACAGCAGGCTATTAGTAGTTAAATTTGGAGGAGTCAGAAGTTATACCCAGAGTTTTGACTATGCTGGGGATTGGTGCCCCTAACTACTGCTTTGTTCAAATGTCTGCTCTGGACACACAGACACACACACAGCACTGGACTGTTCTCTGTTTTTCTTAATACCTTCACATCCCTTTCCCTGTTACTGGTAGTGGCATTCCATTCCCTAGTGTCTGCCCAAATTTGAGGCTTAAATATTTACTCTTGAGGCTTGAGTGAAAATGTAAATTTTATGGGGGCTGTCAGCTAGAGCACCAAGACCTAAGAAGCAGTTTATTAAGTGAAATGCTATCAAAGAAATGCAAGTACATAGTTTTAAAAGTCAAATAGTACTAATAGATTAGTAAGGAAAGGTGGTGCTCCTGTGCCCCACCCCCTCCTCACTCTGGAGTCTTGCTCCCCAGAAACAACCGCATTATTCTTAACTATGTCTTCTGGTGCTCCATATTTCTAATTAGTACATTATTCTGATGTATCTTGACTTATCCAATTTACATATTATATGTTGACTTCCGATTTCAAAATAGAAGAATTTATCTCTTTTTTGTTTCTCCTCCCAAACTACCCTTCCTCTTACATCTTTGTAGCATGGTTCTTGGTTGAATTAGTCTTTAGTGTTTATATTGTATGACTGTAGCTATTCACTCAGGAGCAAATAGGTGTACTAAGATTTTATTTTATTTTCTTGTACAATTTTTCTTTTGTACCATAGAAAATTACAAACATAGGAAAGTATAGAGTGGTTTAACGAAATCCATGTGCCCATTACCCAGCTTCAACAACCACCAAATACATGTCCCATCTTATTTTATCTGTACTCGCACCCACTTTCCACCAACCCTTTTAGATTCATTTGAGGCAAATTACAGACATTATATCATATAAAATGTAAATAATTCAGTGTGAGTTCTAAAAGAAAGGAGTTAATTTTTTTGCATAACATCATAGAATTATACCTGGAAATAAACATTTATACCCTAATATTATCAGATATCCAGTAAATGTTCAGATTTGACACTGATCTATCTCATAAATGGTTTGATTTGTATAGTTGGTATGTTCAAATCAGCATTCAAACAAGGCATACATATTGCACTCGATTAACATGGCTCTTCAGTTTTATTTTAATTTGTAAGTATGCTTCCCTTTTAATGTTTTTGTCCTTGCAACTTATTTTTTTATTCATTTTGTTATCATTAATCTACAATTACATGAAGACCATTATGTTTACTAGACTCCCCCTTTCACCAAGTCCCCCCCCACAAACCCCATTACAGTCACTGTCCATCAGAGTAGTAGGATGCTGTAGAATCACTACTTGTCTTCTCTGTGTTGCACATCCCTCCCTATGCCCCACCACACATAATACATGCTAATTGTAAGGCCCCCTTTCTATTCCTTGCCCTTATCCGTCCCTTCCCACCCATCCTCCCCCATCCCTTTCCCTTTGGTAACTGTTAGTCCATTTGGGTTCTGTGATTCTGCTACTGTTTTGTTCCTTCAGGTTTTTTTTGTTCTTATACACCACAATGAGTGATATCATTTGGTACTTGTCTTTCTCTGCCTGGCTTATTTCACTGAGCATAATACCCTCTAGCTCCATCCATGTTG